GTGGCGGGAGCACCTAGGCCTCCTTCCAGCACAAGACTACGACGCCTCTAAGCACCCCAATGCGCAGCCCCCTAACGTCTGTCTGAATGAGATTCTTGAGGGCCCGGAGAACGATTTCGTCACAGATCCCTTGAACGATGACTTGTGGAAGACATGGACGGAGCAAGCTACAACGAACACGGAAGTATATCGGATGCTCTTCCGCACGGACCCAGATGACAACATCCGCACCTTTGAGGACTATGATAATTTCAGACCGCGAGGCGGAGTCAAGGAGGGCCACCTGTTCGACCCGTACCAGCCCGTCAAGGATGTCCGAGAGAGACTAGACAGGATTAAGGGCCATCTTGTCTGGATGCCACTCGATTTTCTGAAAGATGCCGAAATGGCAGAACCTGGTCTGGCCGTTAACCAAATCACTGAGGTAAGTTCGTTAATAACACACCTAAGAAGACACTTTTTGCTGATCTTGTTGCAGAGTATCTATACCTAGTCTTCTTCTGTCTTTGCCCCAATAGCGAAGTGCTTCATTGCAATCATGATTTCGGATAACATTTATGACTATTCAAGCGGGATATGAGCTGTAAAGTTGTACAAGTTGTGCATTCATCCCAAGTTAGCATTGTAGATACAAACTACTGGCAAAAAAGCTACTGTCATGTGAATATAGCAATATATCCGTCGCCACGGACAGGGAGCCAACCATGAAAAAGCCACTTATTGTCACATATTTCTACCGCTGATACTGCAAGAGATCAACTCCTTGTATTAAATAGAATATATCGATCACTACTTCTTCCACAGCTCATAGTCAGGAAAGTACTTATCATGTATCCGTCTTGCATAATTGACCACGGCCGGATAACCCTTGATGATCGCCTTTGAGGCCGGTGCGCTACCCGAGGAATCAGTACACCACAGGCAAACCAAAGCAGATATGAGTACTCACGCGTCGCACACCAACACCGTTGCAATGAACGCAAACAACACCGCATCCGCCTCCGTCGGCCCCTCTCCTCCCCAGACCCAGAACGGCCCGTCCCGATCGGACTGCTTCGCCTGAGCCTCCGCCACCACTGCATTTAAACTCTCCCAGATCTCTTGCCGGAAGGCAACGATCTCATCTTCAGTGAAGGCCATGATACCCTGGCCCTGGAGGTTGCGGGTGACTTTGCGGTAGATCATGCTGCCAACGACGACCTGGACCGGCCAGGGAAGGGCAGCGAGGATCTTGGAGCGCATGGCGTAGAAGTTTAAGACCCATCGTTCGTATGTCTTTCCATTCTCAGATTAATCTCTTTGCTTTCGGGTGTAGTGATGCGACTCGTACCTGGTAAGGACCCAACTTATCCTCTAGCAACGCCTTGAGCGCCAGATCATGCAGTCGCTCAGTCGGGGACAGGCGCTGGTTCAGATCCTCCGTGAATCCCTTCTCGATCAGCGCTTTGGTAATGAGGGTGGAATCTGGGAGAATCTGCGGCGGCTGCTCGCCATCCTGGAGGGAGATGTAGGGGACTTTGCCGCGCGGGGCTTTGCCGAAGGAGCCTGGTTCGGTGCGGTAGGGGATGTTTGCGAAACGGAGACGGGCCTCCAGCTTGGTGACGAAGAGGGACCAGGTATAGCAGCCGTTTTCTGGGAAGCCGCGGAAGATGGTAATGATGGGGGATGATTTGGCGGCCATTGTAGAGTGTCGCTAATGGAAGATGACAATGTTAGGAAGTGAGTCTAGCTAAACGATTGAGTATTTGTGGATATTTTGAGGACGAACTGAAGTAAAACGAAGTATTAAGTACAAAAAAGTGTGAAGACGAATATATGTAAGCTGGGAAGAGAGCTCTAGGCTCCGATGTCCCTTTTGGGACCCCGATATGGGCGAGACCAAAATAAGGATCTAACTGTAAAGCCACAAATTTACATGATTATCAAGATGAATCGATCCACGTAAGTGTCTAGCCAATTACCCAGTTCTTGTAAGCACTAGTGCTCCAGAGTTTAGGTGAACAGAGAGATGACTCTAGTCCACCCATCTTCAGCCTCTATCTCAAATCCTTAGGCCGCTGTAGCCTATTCTAAACAAGAGACTTAACCCTACTCATAATGCGCGGAACTAAAAAGCAGCTAGTTTTAGCGCTTACACCCCGCCATCAAGAATCACCAGTCAAGTGCTTGGACTCCAACCTTCATTCTCTGCCCGCTGCTACTTATAGATACCTATATATGTGCATCTACAGAAAGGCTAGGAGAATTGAATCCCGCGACATCAGGCAATATGCCAAATTTCATCCGTGCTCAGACCCTCCCAAGTCAACAGTGCCCGCCAATGGCTGTCTGGGCGCTCATGAAACCCCGACATTGCCAACATGTGTACGTCCAACTACGCTCAATACCAGTGCACCCTGTGTCCATCAACCGGGATTTAATTAGTCCGCATTTTCTGGCTGAATCCAGCACCTGCGGAATCTTCACAGACTTGTCATCCACCAGTCGAGTAATAAAGTGTGCAGTCGGTTCCACTTGGCCTAACGACGGGCTACGGGTCAAAGAAGTTATGAGCCATACGGCCCATCCCTCTGACGATGGGCGCTCGTTTAATTGTTATAGAGAGATATGGCACGGTAATCCATCCGGAGAGGTTCATGGGGCGTACGCACAAATCGCACCAACTGCTCACCAAACCTGGAGACGAACGAGGATGTACATGTACTCAGGTACAAGCTCAATAAGATCAGGCATCCTTTGACTGAGGGTCCAAAACTTACCATCCTCTTAAGTTGTGGGGCCTCAATGAGCCTATTACACGGATGTGAGACAGTCTGGGACTTACTGGCCTGGGGCGCTCGGTGACAGAAGGTTCGGTGAAAGGTTCGTTCTGATGCTTAAGGGAGGAAGAAAGTCATTGAGAAGGCAAAGAGAACAAAATCTTTTTCGCTATTCCCTCCAGAAACTGACCGGTCCCTCGCTGGCTTGGCAATTGCAAAGGCGCTTTGGCAATCATCAGTGACCCGAGCCTCCTACTGTTCCGCTCAGTTGACTGCGACACCACCGCCTTGCACTGCTTGCCTATAAACGTTTATGCCACAAGCTGTTGGCTGCTGTCAGGCCTGCCTGCTGTTTTTCATAGGCCTATCTCTTGCAGCATGCTGGTCAGCAGTGAGAGCCTTTGCTCGATTGCTCGTGGGCCAGCTTTGACTGATTTATATGCGGTTGGTTGATACCCTATGTTGAGGTTGATATCGCCAACATGTCGGAATGATCTGCCGTCAAAGAGGCAAGATTTGAGTAGAGAAGTGCCACCTTAGTAAAAGAAGCATATTGCACAGAGATGATTGCGTCGGAATCGTTGATATCTTAAATTTCTATCCGACGAGTCCTCCAAGCCTAGCAGAGGAGCAGGCTTCAAGCCCCAAATACATGGCGAATCCGGCTTTTGACGCTGCAGGATGCATAACACCATATCAGGCAGCCTCAGATCCCCCAATTCTCGTCTAACAATGCTGGGGTTGGTTCCGATGTATCTCACAAAGTCATAATACTTAGTATCGATAAATACACCCAATTTGGCCCTTGTACTCGAGTCTCGGCCAATATTGTTGCATCATCAAGTCTGCCCTAGTATCATCCATAGGTGACGCAGCAGTTGGTCCCATGTTTCTGACTTGGGTTAGGTAAGATGGAACACTCCTTAGGTGTCCAGCTACTTCCTTGGTTATTTAGTGCAGACGACTGACTCGTGGCTTGCTCGTTAGTATGTCTCCCCTTGTGTCTCCCCCTATGTCTCAGATCTATTGAACTGTATTCACTAACTAAGTATGACATTCACTATACTCAGCAATGCTCACTGTGGTCAATGATACATAGCGCTTGAGGATAGTGAATTTCAACAATCTTCATTCACTGTAAGGACCTTGAACTAGACATTCAATGGCAGATCGAAGCGAAACAGGCAGAGACAAATACCGTCGTCCCTCCCATGGTTCTCCGCTCTCCATCTTCCTTCCTTCATATCCCTGTAGCCAGGCGGCCCTCACTCGATTGGAGTCGATTCTCAGATCCATCTGCGGGACTCCCGATCACTTATACTTTCTTGACCAACCTGTATGGTCAAAATAGGTGAGTTATCTGTTCGCTCTCTTCGATACCATGGATCTTCGGGTTTCATCACATATGCAAATTTGGTCGATGACTTGCTAACAATATGAGACAATAGAAGTGCCACAAACAGCGGCAGCAACAGCTGCCCCCTGCCTTACAAAGCACATGGGCCTAATCTTGATTTTAGCGAGCAAGAGAAGACGCAGAGAAGATGCCTCAGGCGCAGGGAGCGCCAAGACCTCTTACGTGAGGTAAGTTTATTCCAATAATCGAAATATCAGTGGCTAATATTATCTAGATGGACGAAAGAGGTGTCCTCGTGCCGGAGGACAACCAGGCATGGCTTGATCCCAAGCTACAGCCCAACCCACACCGGCCCAGCGACTGCTGGAGGGTGTACGGGTTGACTTTTTTGTCGAATTGAAACTCCGCGGAGTTCCATGCAAGTCCAACTCTGATTGAGAAGGACACATGGTCCTTAGAGGATTTGGGGCCCAAATCGTTGTGAATGGATGGGACGGCTATTTACAAATCCGTTTGTATTTGCCGATCTCTTCGCGCAGCACTTGATGTTGAAATCACACTGAAGTTCTCCGTCGATGTACCACGAGTCTTCAGAGAAGCGGATGCTCGAGCAGCCATACAGCTGCTAAGATGTGAGAGAACGGCTGGTGAAACGCCTTTTGACACAGCAGAGTTTGTTTCAAACATCCAGGTAATCAGCATAACAAAGCAGAGCCTGTCAGATGCAAAAGAACAGCTCATGGGGGCGGCTAAGCCACGCAACAGCCCCCAGACTCCCACTTCAAAGACAATGAGCCAGCTATGTATATACGGAGCCGATGCAAGGCAGGATTTGACAAGTCCGTTCACCTAAAGGAGGAGGTGCGGCAGCACTAGATGCGAATATGACGTCTGAGGAAGCAGACAAGGTACGTAAGAAGACGCTCAAGGCATGCGATTTAGGTCAATGACTTGCTAACAGAATGACACACTAGAAGCACCACCACCACCGCCAGCAACAGCTACCGCGGCGGCAGCAGCAGCAGCATGCCAACGGCAACAGGCCAACAGCGGCTGCTGCTGCCGCCGCGGCCTCCTCCCGCGACCCCTGGTGCCTCCGCCATGCCTGGTCCTCCTGTGAGTATTTCTTAATATGTTATAAATGACACGTGACTAATCTTAATTCTAGCCGTCAAAGAGACAGAGAAGAGAGGAGGACATTCGGCGCGATGAGCGCCACCGGATCTCCCGCATTGTAAGTCTATATCTTTTGCACACATATATGTACCAGTTCTGATTAATATCATCTACTAGATTGCGGAGAATGGCATTGAATTGCCCGAGGAGGTCCAGGCAGGGCTGGGGGTCCCCCAGCTGCGGTCCGACCTCTCACGGGCCCAGCTGGCCCGGGTTGATGAACTCCATGAGGAGTTCATCGCCCGGAAGGGGGAGCGGGAGGAGAAAAGAAAGCAGCGAATGGCTGCCAAAGAGGCCTTGAATGCCGCCCAACAGGCCTACAATGAGGCCAATGCCGCGTGGGAGGCGGCCGACGCGGCTGGAATTGCTGGAGTCGATCCAGAGAGGGCTGGGGGGTGCTAAAGCTGCGGCCAAATTTGAGACACGCGCAGAAGCTCCATCTCGAAGAGCTAGATGATGAGTGGGCCGCAGCAAAGCTGGCACGGGAGGAGGTGCACAAGATGCGCAAGGCTGCCAGGGAGGCCGTTGAAAAGGCACAGAAAGAGCTAGAGGAGCTCAACAAGGCTTGGGAGGCGGCCAACAATGCCGTCAAGAAGGTATCTGCGGAGAAAAGGCTCTTCTACGAAGAGCATGATGACCAACGCGGGAAGGGAGACAATGGAGGCGGCACAGAAAGCTTTGCGGATGATGCTGTGAAGCTACGGCCGAACCTCACAAGGGTCCAGAGGCTCCGGGAAGAAGCGAAGATGCGCCAGAAGGAGGCCAAAGGAAGAGGAGCCCGCTGCGGCCGCCGCCCCCGAGCCCAAGGTAATGTAATAATACTAGCATTCTTGGTACATACATGACTAACTGCGACTTACAGAGAGGCCGCCTTGATAAAATCAAGGCGGAATGGAGAAAGGAGCATTTAGAAGAGGTAAGCTCCCTTTATGTATCAATACATACATTTATGTATAGATATGTACTTTGCACTCTATACTACATGCACCATATATCAAGATAGTACTGACTATAAGGTTATTCTTAGCTCCGAGCCCAACACTGGGTTGTTCCTGATCACCCGGCTGAAGGAGAGGATGAGGGGCCTGGCCAGGGTTAAGCCCCTGGCCAGACCCTCCGGAAGACGGAGTTGCTGTAGGACCTTGAAGAATCGAAAGGGATCAAGGATCAACACCTTGAAAGAAAACGACAACTAGAGCGCACGATTGCCGGGCTCAACGAGGAATTGCAGACGCCAGACGCCGCGTTTCGAGATGCGAAGACTAGCATTTCCGAAGTCGTTCGCAAGCTCAGTAAGGAGGTGAAAAATCAGCGCCTTCAGCAAAAAAGGGAGCTTCAGGACGAGATTAGCCAGCTAGAGGAGGAGATCAGCGGCCTCCAAGCGGAGGCGGAGGCAGAGGCGTCTTTCAGACAGATGGAGGCCGACATACGTGACGTGGTGAGGAAGCTGATTAAGGTCCACAGGCAGGAATGGGTGACAGGATTGATATTGCAGATGGACATGTACGGACTGGCATCTACACTTCACTCGGACATCGCTGAAGAGAACCTTGAAATGTGGAAAGCTGCCCTCTCAGCAGGAACATCCAGAACGGACGAGTGGACTCAGACTCCTATGCCGAAGAAACAGTCCGTGAGCTAAGTCTCCGGAGTTCTCAATTATGAAATAAACTTGACTCGTTCCCCTGGATGAAGCTCGAGTCGAACGATTCACATCGGAGCTCTCATATCCCTCTGTCTCCTTCTTTGTCCTTTCGCTCATGAGCAAAAGCTGCACTCAGCAATACTAGCTGCTGCTGCTGCTGCTGCAGCAGCAACAACAACAACAACAACAATAACAACAAAAGCTGCAGAAGCAGCAACAAAACTAACAATATGTCAGCATTGATACCACCTCAAGAAAGCCCCACATCAATTCAGGTTATCTTTGGTTTCGGAACCGGCGTATGAACATATATTTGACTTCTTTCGGGCATCATCTAGAAACTTACTTGCTCATGGAACATGTATCGTATTTGTGATAAGAACATCCTTCTCAGAAAATCTTCAATATGTAATCGACCAGCTCGTGACTACCTTCATTAGACAGATAAAAATGAGAGCAATTGGCCGTCGTGTTCTCTGTACATTCCACCGGTTAATTCCAGCATGCACACAGCAGGGTACGCAATCCCTGAAGAAGCAATGAGCCAACGGATAGCACAAGGGTGTATGGATTTAGAATCCAACCAACGGCGATCACGCCTTGGCCCCTTGTCCTTGTTGAAGCTTGGCTGGGTTGTACATGATGTATTTCGAGTGGTACAGACTACCACATCGAACTAAGTCAACGGGCACGAGACCTGGTCCCAAGGAACCTACGATGATGATTTGTTGGATTAAGGTGTATGACAGCAGTCATTTCCTAGCACGAGAGTCTGAAATGGGTGTAATGAGTTGCGTTGCCGCGTCAGTTGCCTGAGTCTATGGATGTTCTCTATTTAACATTACCAAGGAAATAAATAAGTAAGAGCAGTCTGGCCAAGAAAACAAATTGGAAGAAGGAAATCCAAAGTAGATGATAGCCACCTGTATCCATGCACAGAACCGCCCATCAAGAGGAATCAAAAGTAAAAAGGCAAAGACCGAAGCTTTTGTCGCTGGACCTGACACCGAGTAAGGATGCAGTGCTGAAAGAACAGTTCATGAAAACAGCAGGATCGGGCCGTGAGATTGCAGACGTTGTGAAGTAGAGTGCTGAGGAGTTCGATCGTAATTGTGTGCTTTCATGATATCGAGTAGGACCGGTCAGAAGAGCCTCGCGCAGGGCGAGGGTGTGTATCACAATTGCGAGCCAGTCGGATAAGAAGCAACCATTCGCAAAGAATAGTCAACTGATAGTCTGAGGGCTTTGAGAATTGGGGTCTTGGACGGGTAAGCAACTGAGTCTTGTGCGAGTTGACCGCTTGAGTTGCCGCGAGGGTGGCCTTAGGATCTATCAGCAAATTCCACAGACTAGACTTGTTTGGATGAGAGCCTACCGGTCTAGCAAAACGCCGCATATGTACCTACTACCTAGGCTTTGGCAGTATGGCATGCGTTGCAGCGACAGTGACCACAGATCTTGCAACGCCAGATAGCCACAAACGGACCGGAGTTGCAATCTGAGCAGCGCCAGGTGAGGATATTGCCATTGGTGGCTTGCACAATGGCAAAGACATGTCCCGAGCACTGGTTGGCCATGTTGGCGACTGTCAGAGGTTAGTATGTGAGCAGGGGAATGGTAGTCGTGCTTGGCTCCACCACGTACTTACTGAGTTTACCACGGAAGTGTCAAACAAGAAAATCTTATCGGGTCGAACCAGATCTCTGGGTCTCAAGAGACAAGGTTGTAAGGGCGATGGCTCCTTCTTTATCTGAATGGCTGGGAAACAATACCCGGGCTCTAGAGTCGAGATAAGGCAAGGGCGTATGCAACAATGCTCCAGGGTCCGGACAAGATGGTAGGGATGGAATCTGAAGGAGCCAGGACAAAAGATGCTTCGGTGTGTAAGGATCAAGTTATGTTTGGATTGGTAAAAGAGATGGAATAAGAATTTGAGTGTCGCGTGTAATGAAGTGTTCAGTTGAAGCTGTAGACGGCGACTCCATAGTATATATAGGTGACGTTTCAATCTCAGCCAGATGGTAGAAACGTATGCTAGCGATGATCCGATGAACACATCACTCAAAAAGGCATCTTGTTTGTCTTCCCTCAGGAGATTGGAAGAATACGATTGTACAACGTTCTAACTACAGGGTCCAGGCCTGACACCGGCAGATGGCTTGACTGTGGCTGTAGGGAAGTTGCTTTTCGAGGAAAATGATGTTATTTCACCCAATGCATGCAGCCGATAATTGCGGAACTGACAATTACGCCTGTGGAGAAAAGAGCCTGGATTCTTTGAGGAAGAGGAATGGACAATGGTGGAATGAAGCCTCAGAATCCCAGACGAATAAAGGGAAGGGGATAAAAAAGTACTGCTCAAACTGCACGATGGGCCGTACAACATGAGACAGAGATGAGATCTGAAGCAGAAGAAACAGAAGAGAAACAGGAAGGACAGGGAAGATGCATGGAAAAGTGATGTATAGTCTCGAGTGGGCCATGGGCCGTAGCAGCAGTACCGGGGAGATGGGAACCGCGTCAGTAGTCGCAATCTTAACTTTAACAATAAGATGTTTAATAAATTATTGGATATTGAGTATCCAATTAGTGGTTTGTTCTATTTCTTTTTCAGCATTATTGGAGACGATTTCAATAGACCAAGATAGACGGGTCGCTCCACAAAGACGTCAACGTATCAAGGACTAATAGGAGTACTCGAACAGTGACTAGGAACTCCTAGGTAATCGGGCATCATATAGACCTTTTTGATTTGATATGTTTTTATTCCGTGCAATGTACTAGACATCCATCAAGATTGTCCCTGAGCCAATTGGGAGATCGCCGTGTTTTGATTGGAGGCCGAAAAAGCACAGCCCTTCCCACTTTCCCAGCCAAATGGTGCTGGAGACTTGGCATGGACGATCTCGAGATCTAGCAATCAGAAGTGCAGTTGCGTTTTTCCACGCAGTAGAGAGGTTCGGTCCAGAATAATAAATCATCGTTGTTACGTATTATCTACCTTACTATTTGGAGGAAATGTGCATCTGAGATATCTTTTCTTTTTTCTGTGGCTGTGCGGTCATCTAGACGTCAACCAGGATCGTGAGGATCAATCCCAGATCCAAGGGCCTGGAATTCTGGATGGTGACAAATTCCAGCCCATAATTCTCCGATGGTAGATATATCATCATATGGTATGCACTGGGTAATGCCATAACATCACAAATGATTTCATTATTTCCATACTTCTCTAGTGTGGCGCAAAATCGAATGGATGAACTGGGAAATCTCAAATGGACTAAACAAAACTTGATCATGAAGACAATTGTGAAACCGAATCCCAGTCACTGTAGGACAATAACGAAGATCAAAACAAGGACAAGGACAAGGTCTATGGACAGTGTTTCACCAATTCCATCATAATGCCTTGTGAGGCTACGTAATTGTTCTTTTTTTGAAGCTTTACCAGGACCTAGTTGGGCCGGAGCCCAGTTTTGTTTTTTCGAAGTTACGACCTAGTAGTTAGTCAGTGCCTGATGATTAATCTCAACCAACAGACCACTCAAGTACCTTAGTAGCATACTACCTTAGTTGACATGGTACTGCTCCGTACGGAGTACAGTGGTTCTCCATCTGATCCACTCAAAGCAGAGGAACTGAGAGAGGACCGGAAAACAAATACGCATACTATTCGTGCCACCCGCCAATGAATTTGGCGCGTCCTACCTACATATGCTAGGTGCTACTGTACGTACTCTACCAAATTATCATAAATTATCATTCCAGAGTTCCCTACTTCGTACTTACCTTGTACTACTCCGTGCATGAGACCAATGGCCTTGGAAGAAGTAAGCCCAATACTCTGGCAGATCTCGACTGATCGTGGCGTGCTTGTGCAGGGGGATCCGCGGTCCCGCCAACCGGGTTCGCGGCTAGAGTGGCTTCTCTGCCATGGTGCTTCAGCCTTCAGCCCACAAGCTCAAGGCTGTCCATAGTTGATCAATGGTCATGTTGATTTGCTATGATGTACACTGCGATAACCCAATTGATTTATGCTAGTTTGCTCTTTGCAAAAAGCCCAGACGGTCGCCCCTATTTATGGATTTCCAGAGTGTATGTAACACGTACCGTTCAACTGACTTTCCACCAAACGCGAGACTTACACCGAATAGGTAAGTGGTCAGTTCCGGACTGAAGTCGGGCGACTTCCGGAAACTGCAAAAGAGCGAGGGGAACTTTTTGGAAAGAAATAGTTCGGGCTCTCTTAGTGGTTCTCGGTTGGACTCCTCCAATTCGGGACACCTGCAGTGGATCTAAACCCAATGCTCCATGGTGGAGGTTTAGTTTTCGAACTGACGGCGCGCGGACTACTTCGTATGTTGGACTGTTAAGGTGATGACTCGAGAGTCGAGACTGAGTCCAAAGGAGCGCTAAGGGAAGAGGACAGGTATCCCGGAGACATGGCGGATGCCAGTTCCCTGTCAATCGTCAATTCATAGTTGCTATTGGACTGTTGATTGTCTACTAAATGACACCGTCCAAGCTCAAGACAAGCATAGTACGTGTTCACCTCAGGAATGTGCAAGAGGTATGATGAAATACTTGATCAACTGATTGGTCTTCACATACGATAACAAACCGAGCAATCCTTGTCATTGTCCACCGTGTCCTGAATAATACGAGCTGGAAAGCAAAAAGCCTGGATTCCCTGAATAGTCCAAAAACCCACAGGAGAACTTTAGCGTTGATCTACCGGATGTACTTCCCCGGTGTACTAAGTCTTAGCCAACTCGAACTAATCCGAGACTTGCTCAGTTCACTTTTCAGTTTCACCCCTTGCCCATTTTGCAGCCCTGGACTCGAAATTAAAAGTCCTTTCCGTCTCCGACGGCGCACGGTACTTTTTCGCGCGGTCCTGACAAGTCGACATATCACATTTCATACGGAGTGGGCGTCTCGCCCCAGCCATTAATCCATGACTCCGTAGGGAAGTCCGTGCTTGGGACCCATTGAAA